GGCGAGCGGGCGCTGCCAGGCAGGCACAGGCTCCGACCTCCCACTGAAACCAATCAGCAGTGCTTCCAGCCCGTTCTGGAGATGTGCCGCTTCCCAGCGCCTTGTTTCCCTCTTTGCATCCGTTCCCCTGCCCCGACCACCCCTTCGCAGGCTCCGAGGAGCACCCAGAACACCTCTCTGACAGAGAGGGACACGTCCGTCCCAGGGAGAGGACTCAGGACCACAAGATCTCCCAGTGAAGGGGCACTGACCCAGCTTTCACGGTTCTGCTGTTCACTGCTCCTCCCTCTGCCACCAGCACCTTCCCGTGCCACGTCACCTCCTCAGGGCTGACCACAAGCTCACGGCCACAGCAGCACGCAGGTACCAACCCCACGTTCTCCCCGCAGACCTCACGCCACCCTTCCCCCTCGGGGACTCTGGTTTTTCCTGCACTTGCCCCATTTGCCCAGCCTGTCGCTGACGTTATTCCCTTCCCGCCGGCTGCGGCACAGCGGGCACCCACGCGCCCGGTAACTGCGCCTTATTGCCTCGCCGAATTACGCGAGGGACTGCGCCTCTGTATTATGGACCAGCATAATGTAAAAAGAGAAAAGCACAATATAACGCCTTCAGAAACAACAGGCTCTGCATTCCTTGTACACATTCAGCACGTGCAGGCTGAGACAGACGCCAGCACCCAGCCGCAGGGCTGTCCCCCCTCACTCCGGCAGCTGCGTTGAGGGATACGCGTCTGACCCCCCATCCCCGGCAGCGTGAAGGCTTTCACTTACCCAGGTGCGTCCACAGCCTCCCCTCACACCGCACGAGAGGCCCAGAGCGAACCGAGAGGTCTCTACCAGCGCCTGCAGTCACCCTCGCAGCCCGCTAATTATAGCGCCCAGGACAAGGTGATCAGCTCGGCAAGCGGCTTTGGGATTAACCGCTCTGCCCAAGGGCTGTGCCACGGGACCCAGCTCCCCCGCTGCCCCAGCCAGCTCCCAGCACTGCCAAACACACAGCTCTGCATCTGGAGCCCCACAGCTCCGTGGTCCTTGGACTTCAGCTCTGTGTTGGGTTCAACTTCTTTAAAATCTCCCACAGCAAGACTCAGCTTCTCTCCCCCCTCAATACAAACCCCTCTGGCCTGGCACGCATGGCCCAATTTATAAATACCCCTTTTCCCCCCAGTTTTGCTCTGGACAGCTCTAAGGAGAGAGGACATTTGCCACATTTTCAATTAGCATCTTAGTGGGACGATTAGGGCCTCCTAACGAACCCACGACCATCGATTCAGCCACACTACAAGCTAAGGGCTCCAGTGGCAAAGGGTCTCTGGAGCGGACGACGGAACGGCTCGCTAAGCTGGGCTTCACCTGCAGAAAGGTTAAACTGAAATACATGTAAAGGACGGGTAAGCAGGCACAAGCGAGCGTGGCCTCTGCAGGCAATACAGAGACTTCTCCTGCCTTTAAGGTCCACAGAACATCAGGCTGAAGCTCCCAGAAAAACCTCAGCATTCAGACAAAAAGAGAGCAGGAGGGGTTAACTTATTTTCAGCATAAATGCTCCATTCTAAAGACCAACGTTTTTTAAATTTAAAAAAGAGCTGAAATTTTCCCAGTTAGCTTGCCAGAGCAGCATGGGACTGCTGCGGACAACATTTCTCCATACACAGACACACGGTGGAGCAATGAAGCCACGTGTGATCACCGTGACTCAACAAGCCCCTTTGCAGGCTATTTCAGGCGGCGCTGCAGAAAGCCCGTGGACGCCCTGCTTGTCAGGCAGCGTGGCCACGCGGCGAGGAGCCGCTGCACCCCGGGGCTGCGGGACGGGGGGCGGGGGGCAGAGG